AGAGGTGCTGCAGCACAGGCAGTATGAGAAAATTAAGAGCTTTTTGAACATTAAAGCATGGAGACATGTCACAGTAGAGACACTACATACTAGTATGAACCTGAAAATGAGCAGAATAGGGCCCCTTTAGTACAGATTTGAAAGATCAAACAATGCTGTTGTTTTTCTGCTGAGGATATGTTCTTTTAGTTGGGCGAATGAGCAAGGTAACATTTAAGCTTTGGAAGCACAAATAACCTTACTGTGAAAAGTCAATAAATGGTGCTGTTTATCAGAAGAAAGATCTAAACTGCAAGTGTTCATGGGTAAAAAAAGAAGGATGTTGGAGTCTGACAACCAGCAGTTAAAGTTAGGAAAGCCTGACACAACAAAGCAGTCTGAATGCAACCACAGTCTGAACTAAACGGTACTTTCTTACACTGGAAGGAACATTGGTGAGGGAAAATTACAGCGCAGCGTGCAGAGCAGTGCATTATGATAATAGGTCAGAGGGACTGGGACTGTTTTAACTCTGCAACACTTCACCCCGTGGGATGACTTCATATAAATGCAGTTGTATGTTTTTAATTAGCAATGTAAACCAATGTAAATTACAAGTGTGCTCAGGTGTTTGAGACTAAAGAAGAGTGCACACACTACATTTTACAGAATGAACTAAAAGGGCAATTGTAGACCTCCACCAAGGCCTTTCCTATAAGTGATTCTGATTCATTCCAAAATGTAATGAGAAATTCCTAAGCCAACGCCATATCCTTCATCCAAATATAATGAAATCAGCCCATTGGTATTTTTCTGTAATCCTGCCAACAAACAGAAATACCGACCGACAAATAGAAAAAACTAAACGTAAACTAAACAATTATGAAGGATGTTAAATGTAAAAGAAAAGGTTAGATATGATAATCTTGTAGGGATCTAAGGTGCAGTTGTTATCCTATATCAAATAGTCACTAACAAAACGCCTACTTCTAGGTCAGGTGTGTCTAATAAAAGGGAGGTTTTGAAAATGACGTTTTAAAAAAAAGCTTCAAAGTGACTTCCTCTCGAAATTCCAGAGAATATCCGTTTAAAAAGAATCACTTTGCCCCAGTTTTGATCATTCTCTCTTCCTCCATCTTAGCTGGAGTAGTTTCCTGCAGGATAAAAATGTCCATGACATCTATAATGTAATATATACACCCTTGACTATGGCTGGGTCATCACGTAGAACACATAAGCCTGACGCCTGCCTCCTCGTTCAATATTAAACAGTTATTTTACGGCCTAGTTTGTCCATTCCCAGGGAATAGGGATCATATATCGTAGCAGGATGCCTGCTCGGTGCTTGTATACAGAGCGTAACACAGGGAACATCAGGGAAATATGTGTGGTTCTAAACACAGCGCTAATTGGACCACATCTAGACCATCTTTGCCCTCAGTAACTCATTACTCAGCAATGTCCTGGCCCCGTTCCTCCCCTACATAAGACCCAAAGAAGAAAAAAAGTAGCTGCATGACGTAAGTGTCAGTGGTTTATGGTTTTCTGAGCGCATGTCTTTGCTTGTGGGTTCATGCATTCTTTATGTGTGTTTCTGGGGGGTTCAGATGTGCAGTCTACCTCACCGGAATACCTAATATATCTCCCTCACCCTCCATCCAGACATCCAGGTTTCTGTGTCTGCGCAAAATAAAAACCTATTCTTGGCAGAGCTCTATGAAGGTAGATATGGTGCAAAATGTGAGAGCGTGTAAAACCTGATGTGAAGACTTGTGGAAAAGAAATCTGAGCTTTGTATAAAATATCCACGTATCTGTGAACCAAATGAGCGTTGGCATCACCTTCTCAAAGTGTGCTATTTCTTTAATTCACTCCTTAATTAGTTGGGTTCCTGTATTTGATTTAGGATTAAAGGCTGCTAATTTCAAAATGACACACATTTTGCTTGTACATGCTGGTGCATTTAAGGCTTACACACTTCAATTTAGTCTCATTTCTGTCAGTTACCAAAAGTGTGGCTCCACTGACAATTGATCAGTTTCCTGTACCACTGGATCCACGTAAGGCCTATTGCCCCGCATCTTGGAACAGACTTTGATGCCTACAATTGGTGGAAATTCCCAATAATCAACATCTACAAGGGTGTGAGATATCATCTGACATCCCACAACACCTGCTAAATGGTCCTTGGGGTAAGTTTAATCAACATTGTTTGATTTTCCTAAAGCCATGACGATTTGTGTGTTAGTTGTTTAGTCTGAGAGTCAGTGAGAGTGCAACAGGGGACAGCAGGGAAGTGACCACACACACACACACACACACACACACTCTGACTTGCATGTTGTACTTGTTCGTGCACTGACGTTGCGTATGTCTGCAACTGGAATAATCTTTCAATCAGTACGCTTGATCTGAAATCAGTTGTCAAAGGGTTGAGAACTCTGATGTCAATATAAAAACAGGATAGGGCAGAACATTTCTTATTCCGGGATTAAGAAAGTCTTATGATCTATACTAAGTTTAACTGCCTGTCTGTCTTTTGTTTGCTTGTCATTTAAAACAAATAGGCCATTTATTCTCGTAGCAACACTACAACACCTTTTGCTCCAAAATCAGAAACCTACAAAATAATCTAACCTTAATTGGATTAGATTCAACTTTATTGTCATTACTACAACAAAATGCAGTTTGCATCCAACCAGGGACTGCAGAGAGTAGATAAAGCGCATGAAGTTACAGTATATTTCATGTTTTGATTCTTTAATTGAACTTAGTGGTCCAATTAAAAGCAGTCAAATCCAGAGGCAGCACTTGTTATACTTATGCTAAAAAACAGCTGGATGAAAACATTTCAATATCATCCAGTATGGAACAATATGATCAACTAATAAAGCTGTGTATTTCTTGTAGCTGGTCCCATCTGGGTGGAATGTCTGGAATCTCCAAATAAAAAGCTCTCTTTTTTAGTTAATAGTTGATGTTGCGATCAGTGGCGGTAAATCATGTTGCTCTCAGGCCGCAAGCAAAGGAATTTACCAAACAAGGTGCTGCGGAGGGCTGACACCCCTCCGGCTGGAGAGCTGCTGCAGGGAGTGCTCGCAGGCGTGCACGCTCGCACAACCACGCTCACACAACCACGCATAAACCTGCAACATCTCCCTGTCAAACAGAACCACGACCACAGGGCTAACACATACTGTACGCCAAGCAGACATAACTTAGTCATTGTCACTGTTATTGAGATTGAAAACAGCACAACAGGTGGACATCCCACCCTGCTTCACATGCATATGTCATTTCATATTTTCCAATGTGTTTAAGACTATCTGCATGACCCACTGAAAGCCTTGAAAAGCAGTTGTCTTTCGTCTACTCTCTGCGGTGGTAAAGGTACACCAACAAATGTTTTAAACCTCAGCCCATCAGCATTTATGAGAGCAATCATCACCTTTAATGCATCCACTGAAGCCTCTGGGGAGACTGATGTTGGCAAGCCAAGATAAAAGACATACAATGGAGGCAGATGCCCTGCGGCTTCTATTTCCTGCAGCCTTTTAAAGCTGTTAAAACAGATAATTGATGGGGAAGAACAGATTCTATTCTGTGATTGCGTTGACTCACTGAAGACTGAGCTGACTGAGCCAAGCTACTAATCAAACAGATGTGGTCATCATTTAAAAAAGCTCCAATGTCAATTATATTTTGTGGGGAAAATATGTTCACAGTGATGTTGGTTATTATGGATACAACACAAATGAGTGTCCAATTAAAGTCCAGGGAAGAGTTTCATGGAGGGTAAAAACACTTGACTGACAGTATGCAGCTCACTGTGCGGCTGATACGTAACATACTAAACTTATGTACACGTGTTATTTAACAAATGTACTTATTTGAACCCAAACCATGATCTTTTGCTGACATAACTAATCAGAATACTTTTTATTATTTGTTCTCAGTGTTGTGATAGTTGCTCCTCTTTAGAATGAAATAAATAAAACTGTACTGTATTCTGGGAGAAAATACGATTCCAAGTTGAAACACAACGCAGGTTAGGTATGGGAAACTTATTTTTGACAATGCAAGGTTGTTTGGAGTTTTGTGATTACTGCAGTAATACTAACTGTTTTAAGGATGCTGGACCTGAAGTCGAGGGACATTAGAGCTGTCAGCAAAGAGTTAGCAGCAATAACAGATTCCAGGTTAAGTCAGTGGCATGTGATGTGTATGTCATATGGAGGCCCAACATGGGTATGTTTTTGCACTTTGTCTGAATGTGTTTGTTTCAGGGAGCAAAGAGCTCAGGTCCCTTTAACAACGTCCAGAGAGCTTAGCCCACTCGGCTGCACATCTTAAACAGATGCCTTCATGTAGAAAGCATCTAGGTGAACGCATCTGCAGAGGATAATCACATGTTCCTGCTTCATCACTGCAGCTTTTAGGAAAGAAAAACAGGACATTTGGAGACATATTTTCTCTGTGAGCGCAGAGAAGTGCAGGGGATATTTGCTTTGGTTTGTCAGGCATCCAAAACCATTTAAACACACAACATATGAGAAAAAGAGTGAGCAAATAATCTGCAAGTCTCACACGGCTTCTAATGCCAATACCAAATAAGGCAACAGAGCAAGCATGGTTTTTTTATTGCCCTCACAAAATCACTTTCATACTCAGACTCAAGCAGTAAGAGACGTCATCATGATAAAGCAGATTCAAGGACATGAAGCTTTGTATCCAGAGGATTTCTATGTTGTCATGCAACAGCAGCGAAAACCAACAACTGACAAACAATGGTTGAGTCTGGTTCATTTATATATCCCCAAACCCCATGTTTGTCTCAAGGGTCGTTCAGATAATGGTCCATTATGCTCAATGGTAACTACCTTGTTACTGTTGCTGATAGAGGCTGTTACTTTGCCACACTGTTTGTAATAATTCTGCAACAGGAAGGATCCAATCATGCCTGCAGAGCACGTACAGCATGGAAGCAATTACTAAGACAAAACGAAAAATGTGTTACTTACCAGCTCATAGTTTGTTGCTGGAACACAAGATGAAGACACCTAAAAACAGAAATAGAACTGGTCAGTCACACTGCTGCTTACGTGCAGTTCTTTTTATTGCATGAACATTGTAAAAGGCAATGGACTTTACACATTAATCCTGCATTCATTGCATTAAGCGTAGGCTTTATGGCTCTGTAACCTGAAAGTGTACCCAGTGCACTGAAAACAAATTAAAACTTACTTTAATACATGTATTATTTAAACAAATTACACATAATTGCATTAGGTAAGTTGAAAGCAATAATATTACGTTTGAATAATAAATATTAGGTTCAACCTAATACTATTGCTTTGAACTAACCTTATATAATAATGTGGGACCTGTTGACCTAATACATTTCATTAAAATCGACGCTTAATTGTTTTAGTTTGTGATTTACATTCCGTCAATGTTGTCTTACTGTATGCAGATGCAAATCAGAATGGAAGGACTTAAAGTGAAACTAGCATTTTTTTATTTGACCAAATTCACGCGAAATGGTACACTTGTAGCAGTGAACCTACGGAGCCCTAAGGGGACATGGAAACAAATAAATAAAGAGAGAGAGACAAAAAAAGAGTCACAGGAGACAACCATTTCATTGCAGACTGTTATGTTTTCGTGGGGAAATGACAGTGCATACATTATTTGAAATATATTTCGAACTCAGACTTAATTTTAAGGACATTTCGGCCAGAGGGGTGTGTTTAAAAACGTAGCAGCCAGCGGTCACTCCAGGAGGCGGCGGGACGTTTAACTCAGACTCTGAGAGGAGCAGCACCAGCGCGCAAAGAGCTTTTACGCACTGCCTACACTGTTTACCTTCATCCGAACAGCTAAAGAGTGACCGCAGGCTGCTACGTAACGTTTTAACACACACACACACACACACACACACACACACACACACACACACACACACACACACACACACACACACACACACACACACACACACACACACACACACACACACACACACACATACACACACACACACACACACACACACACACACACACACACACACACACACACACACACACACCATGTATATATCACTTCAGGGGACATTACATTGACTTACATGCATTTCCTGGAGACTTATCCTAACCTTAACCATAACCAACACATGCCTAACCCTAACCCTTAACCTTACCCTAACCCTGAACCTAAACCTAACCAAGTCTTCACCCTAAAATTAATGATTCCCCTTATGGGGACCTCCATTTTGTCCCCATAAGGCAGGCGAGTCCCCACACGTGACTGTGTAAACAGATTTAGGTCCCCACAAGTATAGTAATGCTAGGCTACACACACACACACCGTGGTGGAGACGCTCCAACAGATCTTATGATCCGTCAAATGCCGGGCTAATCCGATAACCATCCGACAGTTTCCCTAATCATTCTTTGGGCTTGGAGCTAAAGCATGAGGCTGATAAACAGGAAGGATATAATGACAGCAAACAGAGGATCCAAATGAAGTGCTTCCAAAAAAAGATGGCCGCTTGATGAGGGTGAACACAAATAGGATGTCCCCACTGACGTTTCCTTCCTGTGCACGCCTGTATTCTGTCTATTTACTTCTGTTTACCATCAGTCTTCTGACCCTGCACAAGGAGGATAATCCAGGCAAATTCAATTTTCACCAGTTAGTCATGTTCACCACCATCTCCTCTGCAGATCACTGACGAACAATAACACGGGACATATTTATGATTCCAGTAGGCTTTTTACTTGTTTGTGTCCTTCATCCTTCTTGTATTACTATCGTTGAACCATGTCTGTTTTAGCTTTGACAGATTAGGGCCTGGGTTATCGCAACTGTTGACCTCCTAAAGCGTCTTTCATCTTTGCTACTACTCCACCACTCTCCTTATCCAAGACTAATTGTGTCATTGCATGATCACAAGCCTTCTGCTCTGTTGGGGTCTGCTTTTCGTTACAGTTGGAGGAAGCACATTCCGATTCTGCCCGCTAACCAAAAATACAGTTCTGTCCCCCTTGAACATATCGGAATGTTTTGCCTTTCTAAAAATGATGGGGGCTTTCATTAAACTTTGTTGCAGCTTTACATAATGATATTGGGCCAAAATTGGAGTTGGTCGCGCTTCCAGAATGAATCATAGCTTAGTACTGATATTACCCTGAGATGCAATATTACCCAACCGAGGACAATATTTAGTAGATATTATTATTTAATTTATTTAATGGTTTAAAAACGAATAATGATGTTATATTGACCACACTGTATGAAAACAATTCTGATGATTATAATTTATGTAATATATTTGTTATATTTATTATATTAATAATTGTCTCTTCTTGTTTTCAATTATTTATTCTTTTTGTCTACTTATTTGTTGGTTTTTCATCTTATGTTGTGTGTTTATAGTCTGTATTGTTTTTTGTTGTGTAAGCCCATGGCTTATAGAACACATTTCTCTTCTTTATATATCTGGATTTTATGCAGTCTTTTTTTTTTTTTATACAATTAATATGCAATTCTAACAAAGCTAGTATAGGTAAGGCCTTATGTCATTGGACAATCCGCCAATAAAGGATGCATCCAAACCAAAAAAACAGACCATTGGAAGCAATTTGCTACGTTATGATGGCTGATTTTAAGGGTGTGCAAATCACCTTGGTTCATTGAAGTCTCTTTTCGATCTGTTGCCTTATCGGGAATACAGGAATGTTAACTCTAAACAGGAAATGAGCTTTATCAGATTACATGTTTTAGCCTTTTTTAGTAATACAAGCAGCTGATATGAAAAGGGGCAGTGCCTTCCAATGCAAGTTTCTAAGATGTAAACTACAACATCTCCAATGTAAGCCAAAATTAAGTTGTTCCTAACAAATGTTTTTCACAGTTGCCCTTATGTATCAACAGCCTACATGAATGATGGCAACATAGTGGAATGTGACTCTGTTTTTGAGAGTTGTGTCTGCGTGGTGGAGTGTGTCTGGAGTTGACAGGATACTGTATCTCTGTCTGGCTCAGATCAGCTCCACTACAAGATATTCTAACCCTGCCGTGACCCGTTCCATTCCCCCAAACCCCCTTCCTTCTCCAACATCCTTATCATTCCATGAGCAGCAACATGCCATGGTTCTCTCAGAGGCCCTGCTCCTTCGGGTGCCCCCCTCCTACCCAACCCCTCAGGCCTGGCCAGTGTTTCCACCTGACGCTGCCTCTGCCCTGCAAGCTGTTGACAGCTCCACCTGCAGTCAGAAATCTGGAATGTGTTTGCATGCACGTAGTAGCAAAGTTACGGCCAAGATCTTGTTACATGTCAGGACATGTTAACATCCGTGAGTACAAAAATCAACAAACAAAAAAATTCTAAGTTTATGCTGTCGGCTCAGAAAGTTAGTTGCGTTCTATTCAAAATCAAAGTCGGATTTTCCAAGTTCCAAAGCAGAGATTTCAACAGTAACACATACAGAAGTTGGAGTTCCCATTCAGAGAGTCAGGTGAATCTTACCAAACCCTAGTTTAAAATCCAAGATGGCTACTCCACACATTAACAGAAGTGAAATCTGTAGTTAAATACAAATTATTAGCGCGTAACTATTTGTGTTTCAGTCGTACGTAGAGCTCTCTCTTTTATCTAAATGTTTCTCAATGTGTTTGTGTGCGCAAAATACCATGTAATTCGTTGTTACATTTGTAGCTGCTAACAATGGCTACCCCGGCTAGAAGTGGTATTGCTCATTCCAACACCTTGTTATATTAGAACATGATGAACTAGGGTGTGAAGTGATAACGTGTTACTTTAAATGTCCATTTATAGGGTCTGCTTCTGTTTGTGTTTACATAGACACTTAGAGCCTGTACACTTAGGTTCACACACACATCCACCCACGCAGGTGTTTCCACTCATGTTGACTGATAGGTCCTCTTCTCAGCACTACTGTATGTGGGTGTGTACTGACAGTGATGATTGATTGACAGAACCCCCGCTATGTTGTTTGTTTTGGTGTGCCTGTTGGGTAGGAGGACAACTTTGACGTTCTTATTGGTACAAGGATTGGTGACCCCCTGTCAATCCCCAGTGGAGATCAGCTAAGCTTCAACCTGGGTGGAGGCCTAATATACCAATAAGAGCCAATATGCCTTAGTATCATATGGACCATGCTATCAGTCTAATAGTTGTTTACATTTGTAACATATCTTCCAATTATGTTTGTATGATGTACTCACTAAACTTATGATTCATTTAACTTATTTTCTTCCAAAAGTTAATTATCCAAAGCATCGAACACCCCCCTCTATTTACATGTAATGGTTTGGTCCTGCCTCCAAACGCTGTGCAGCACCGGCCCTTTCTAGCAGAGAGACTAGTGAAAGGAGGGATGCTAGTACTTACATGTGTACGATGTCTCGACGACTAACAAAGTCAGGCTTTCAAGAAAGAAAAGAAAGGAGAGAAAGACAAGAGAGAGGGACTAAAGGGCGACAGTATGTCACCCAGTTTTTCAAAAGAAAAGGTGGGTGTGGTCTATGAGTGGTGGAAATTAGTCTGTTAGCTAAGCGTAGTCCATTGTAAATAATAATTGTAATGTTTTGCTGACATTAAAGGTGGGGTAGGTACGTTTGAGAAACCGGCTCGAGATACACTTTTTGTTATATTGCATGGAATGCTCTTAACATCCCGATAGCAATGAATATATGAAGTGCTTTGACAACTCCATTAAAAATTCATCTGTGGAAGCCGTAGTACTGTAAAAAGCACGACCAATCATTTTAGCCGGCCCGGCTAAAGTAACTGGATGGCCTACCTGCCTGTCAGCCTTCCATCTGTGCACAAACTTATCTCGTGCCCTCATTGGTCATGTGCACGTTTGTGTGTGTTAGAGGAGGGGCTCTGTAAGGAAGTGGCAGATGTTTTCCGGTTGTGTATTTTCAAATTCTAGCGATCTCGAGCTGGTTTCTCCAAAATGACCTACCCCACCTTTAATACTGTTAATATCTTCACAGAAAATTCAGAGGTTTTTCATTTCACTCCTCT